TTTAAATCTATCATCGTCTCGAAGATTGGAGTCTCCTTGGAAAGTTGTTGCACGATTGTTGTCTTGAAAATCTAGTAGCATGGGAAACAACATTCATCTGTAGCAACAGAAATCAGAAATCCCCTAATGTAATCCCTAATACAATTATTAGCCATAGTTAATAATAAACGCATCGTCCATGCATTGGATTCGATTTGAAACGTAACTAATCCACCCGCTGTAAATCAACGTCCTCACGTCCAAAATGCAAACACTTTCACTTTCACCATCATCGTTACATCAACGTCGTCTACGCCGATCTTTTATTCCTCTCCTCTCCCTGTTTCTGCCCCGTGGTTCTGGTTTATCACGCAGGTACACGTAGCCGCCATTTGTATCGTTACGCGCATAACTACGTTGTTTATAAAGGGTTGTCCCCGGAGCGTAATAAATACTCGCTGCCGCCGTCTCACCGTGAGAGGGCTGCAACTCTCGCCTGAATTTCTCTCCCCCCCCCCCTCCGGCGAAATTTTCGGCAGGAACGCCACACCTGGGCGAATTCTTCGCCCTCCGGTGAACTGTGACTTCTCTCTCGTTCTGAGAAAGTGAGATTAAGTTAGTCGCTCTAAAGATTGCTTTGACGATCGTCGTTTCGCGGCTCGTGGCCAATTCTCCTCTCGAAGGGTTTTCCATGATCTTTCGACCGAAAGCCGCGGCGTGCCTCGTCCTTGATTCTTGTAAATTGCTCGGATCTAATTCGCCCGGGTTTTCATTAAGTTGATTAAGCGGCGCGGTAGTTGATGCCTGGATTTATGCACATCGTCGACGACCGAACAACGGGATAGATCTGCCGGATTGTTGTTTAATAACAATTGCTCGTGATTGTGTTTTGATTAACTGGTAATTTTGTGGTTATTGGTTAGTTAATAATTTTGTATTATATATAATTTATATAAACAGGTAACGACTGGAAATTAAAACGGCACGATTATCACTAATTTGAAGGGTCGATTTAAAACGAGTCGAATTAGATATTATTTTTTTTTTTTGACATATTTTGAATGTCATCGCCCATAAGTGTTTTATATATTATTTATTTTTCAAATGAAACAAATCAATTTTTACGATTTATCTTTTGTAACAAGATTTCATCCAAATAATTCAAACGTAGGAGCTACAAGTAGTTAAACATTATTAAATTAATAGTAATAGTATATTATTGATATATTAAATTAATATTGAATCAAGTATTATCGCGAGTATTAGATAAAATTGATGAAACGATCCCCGACTTTCTACAATCGTTCGTCATCTGTTCACTGTTTCAAACTCGATGAAGAAAAAAAAAAATTGATGTTATCTTTGTAGAATAATTTAATATTTTTAAAAGTAGCAGGATATCGAACAATTTATTTTTTTCTACGCGATTGATTTATCCCATTTTTTCCCCCTTGCGCGACAATGGTTTTGTCATCGATGCTCATTATAATTTAAACGATAATACGAAATCGTTCATTTACCCGCTGTCGTTGTATCTAAACGAATTTGCATAAAAGCAATTTCAGCTGGATCAAATGACCCAATGATTTCATTTGAAATCTGCCTTTTCCGAGAACAACAACGTAAATGGAATTAGCAATCGTTTTACGGGATTGATGTTCCACCGACGATTAAAAAAAATGATACAACAATTTCCACTTTGTTTCGATGCAAAACAGAAATAACGAGAAATTAGAGTCGAAATCTACGTTCTACTTTCCCTGTTAAATCTTTATAATCGAAATTTCGTTAGGAAAGAAAAAAAAGATTGAAATCTAGCGATTGTTACAAATGATAATAATTATTGTTATTACGGTCGCTGTAAATATGCAATTTGGTATTTCTGCGATGACGTATTGACGAGATACGGCAGATGTACAAAATGCAAAGAGCAATTATTGCGCGAAATGAAACTTTCAGAATGTGTAGTTCAGATGTGCGAGCCACTCTGGAAAGTTAATTTCGACAAGTCCCATTTTTTCCCGCGTGTTTCATGTCATCTCATCAAACGTGTAAATCTGAAAATTTCTACAAACGAGAGAATCCTGAACCTAATTAAATAACAATTAATATTGCATTGCTCAAGTATAGAAAAAAAAAAAAAAAAAAAGGAAAGAAAGGAAGAAGAAGAAAATTTATCTATTTTCCTTATTTTACTGAATCATCGACCACATGACTAAGCTAATTTGATCATTTAGTTTGAAAAGGAATAAAATTACCGGATAATTAATCTCCGTCTCTTGGTAATTTCTTTCTCTACGTTAGGATGAAACTCGAGTCGAATTCGGTTAGTATACGTCAGTCAGATAATCGAAATTTTCTCGTCGATCTTTTTCCTAGAATCAGTATGTTTCGAGACTTGTCAAGAATTTCTGAAATTTTTATTATATAACTCTGACGTACGACATGAAACTCTGTGAGGGAAAAGATCGTACGGCAAAGTTTTAATGTTTAAAGTCATTGTAAAAATTTAGTTTTTAAATTATGACAGATCTGAGAAGCCTGAAGTGAAAAAAAGTATTTTTAGAGATCTTTGAAAAGAACATACTCCAAATGCACTGTTACGAAATTGTAATAGTTGAAAAACAAACGAACGAGAATATTGATAATTTGTCATCGTTGGTGGTGGCAATTATTCTCACGAAGCAGGGAGGAAATTCTGAAACACGAGTAAAGAATTTCGTGAATTTTCAAAAGAAAAACAAAAAAGAAAAGAGTTCTTTCTCGGTTGGCTTCGAGACCAACTGCAATGAAGAACGAAATGCGAGAGACGACGACAGACCGATTACTCACGGGTTCAAAGTTCAGCCAATTTAACCGAGTTGACGTCAGAGACGCTCGTTCACCAGTTGGCACACGTTCCACGGTGTACGACGCGGTGCAACGCGAGTGCGAAGGGAAAGGTATCGACCAGTGGGGATGCGTTTCCGCAGAAGCTGATACTCGGTTATTAACGATTCCATTAACCCTCGAACAATAGACACTCGCGGCTATTTCACGCCACCGTGCTTTTCATTTCCATAGGCGAAGCTCCATCGTCGAAGAGAGTCCACCTCGTCGAAGTTCGATTACGCTTTCAATATTCGCGCGAGTGTTTTTCACGATGTTAATAATTTTGGTTATATAAAAGTGCTAATAATACAATAATACAGTATAAGATCAATGATAATAACATGAAATAATTGAAACATTCGTGAAGAATGTGAAATTAAACGATATCAATTCTAGTAATTAACGATAGGCCATTTCAGGATTAATGTTACTTTATTCTCATCTCGCTTCGATTCTCAAGGACAGAAAGAGACCGAAAAAAACGGATAAAATTTTATAAATATAGATTGACATTTTTTTTATATCACAGAGTATTCGTAGATCAAGTTCGAACGTATTCGAAAGTGCAGCTATTTCTTTCGAAAATACTCGCAACGTGTGTAGACTTGAGTCCCTCACTCGTGTCAAAAAAACAAGCAAAACAAAGTTCTGATGGACAACGAATTCTTCTGCCCAGATTAGTTTTTTTTTTTTTTTTCAACCAGTCGTGATAATCGGTGTTTCGACGAGAATGATAATACGAGTGGCGCGTATGGGAAATATCTTAACTGGATCGCTAATGCACACACGGGGAGACGGACCTCTGCAAATGGGGATAATCTGCAGACGATGCTTTTGTGCGGGCGGCTCGCATTGAAATCCGGTCTGGAGGGGCCGGCCTCGTTTGTACCTGCGCAAATCAAATGGGTTTAAACAACGTCACGTTGATAAATGAGCCTTTTGACTCGTTACCTAAAACGGACAAATTAATCTCACGTTTGGCCCCGTTGGTACTCCTTGTCGAATCTTCGACGTGCGACGATATTACATCCTTATCGTATTTTCGTTTATCCAACCACCACTCGCGAATAGTTCCTTGAGAAATTCCGAGTCGAGTGCAGTAATTGACATTTGATTATTCTGTTCGGTGGGAAATTGTCATGCGCGCCGTCTCGTAGGATGTTGAACGATTCTATGGTGCGTAATCGTTGACATTTTCTTGATAGAAAATCTTCGTTCGTGTCACTGTCAAAATATAGATATCCCATAGACTCTCGAACAATTTTGTTTCGTGTAATAATTTAATAGAAAATTCCTTTCCAATTCTTTTCTTTTCTCGCCAGAGGTGTCTTTAATCTTAACCCTCGAGATCACGAAAGTTACATGACGAATATGCAAGATATATATGAATTATCGAGTATCCTGACATTTGGAAGGGAATGAAAGAAATTTAATTGTTGAGCTATGAAATCGACACGACATTTGATCATCGTCTCTCTCTCTCTCTCTCTCTCTCTAGTAATGACAGAGTCACAGAAACAATATCGATCAAGTCGGGTGAGTTGAAAAAAATTTGAACAGGTATACAAATGGTATCAACGCGGCGCGGAATTGGTAATTTCGAGTTGCCGATTACGTGCAACGTAATGCAAACACAAAGCCAGGCAATTAACCGAGGCTAATTTCGAAATATCGAGTTTGTAACTCTCTCTCCTTTGAACAAAATTCGTTCCAGATTAACTCGTTTACGGCTCATCCGTTTCCACGCAAAGCTCTTTCCACGTGGATTAATCACGCGTCGAAGACAGACGAGCCAACGCCGCCGCCTCCACATTATCCCTCATCATCTTAATAAATTTGACTTTTCGTTGCCGGTTAATTATTACCTTTCTAAACGGAGCGAGCTCGCGCGTCGAATAGAACGCGTTTATTTCAGACAGCGACAATTCAATTCCGAAGTTTGAGCGACGTAAATATTTTTACGACAAAGGCCTGAATAATTAAAATTCATTTCGTTTGATTAACAACGTATACAACTCGAATTGTATCATTCTTATAATTGTTTAGCGAAATATTACATTTTCAACACTTTGGTGATCGCCAATTTTTTAAACATTTCGGAACGACTATCGTCATCACTGAAAGGAAATTTTCAACAATTAGGCAATATTACAAAATGCAGAATAAATATTTGTAACGATAAGATACTTCACTCTTTATGATATGAAACGTATTAATTAACGTGTGACCGGTTCGACGTGTTGAACGTTTGGAGATGTCTGCCTCGAAATTGACTTCTATCACTGAAACTTTCTTCCCTGCGCCAACGCGAATGATCTCCATCGATCATTTAAATTTTACACACAGGCCGATACATTCTTCTCCGGACAATTATAAAAAAAATACTTGCACCCTAATCCTAATTGCAAACCTCGTCGCTAATCTTATTGTCGAATAGAAACACGAAAATCTATGCATTTTCTTACGAAACGTGACTAAAGAAATGGAAATCTATATTACGTTGTATATACAATAACTTTGCTTTGAATATTTTACGCACTTTTGTATATTCCATGCATTGTTGCGAGTGTTTTCACCTTGTGAACCTCCCTGTCTCGCGAATGCATAAAAAAAAAAAAAAAAAAAATACGCAGTCCGTTCATGAATTATGTATAATTCATCCTTTGCATCGTAACTATATGGTTATCGTGTCTTGTAATTCACGTCGAACCGATCCAATTACCCGCCGGCTGCAAATACAACGCAAGTGCGTTCGTTTTCATCCGGCGTACGTGCGAAATTACCTATTTTCTTGTTTCAATTTTCGCTTAACACGGCCGAATAATTTAACGCGGTGGCTGGTTGGCTGGCTGTGCGCGCATCGCAGGGAAGTTTGTACACGTATAACCGAATTAGTCGTAGCACGCGGTTTCCGAGATCCTGGAGTTCCCTCGAGGGAATAAAATAGGCTTAAAAGTAGGATCGGAGCGCGCGAGCGCGAAGATCGTGTTTAAAGAAAACACTTTCGGCTTCGCCATGTTTTCCGTTTACGTTCTGTCATAAAACGATAGAATCAGCTGGTGAATGATCGATCTGTGTACGGTTCTCTATGTGTGAAGTTCGAATCGATTAAAATAGAACCAGTGGACGGGGGTGAGTTTTTTAATATTCGTATCTTTCTTTTTTTCCATTTTTCACGTTTTCTGAAATGCAAAAATTTCCAGCGGAAGGCTTTCGAAAGTGGTAACAAATCTTTTAATATCATCAGCGTGAAATACAATTTGTCGATGTTATGTATATATAGTGGCATCGTTGAACGCGATTTGGAAGTTTTCAATTTAATTTCGTTTTGATGACAGGTGAACATAAAATTCAACATGAAATCTGATGTAAATTATTGCAATCATCTATAAATTCAATCAGGTTGAATATGAAAATTAATTGGAAATTAATCGAAGATCGAATAGATAATTCAATTACGATTCGATCAATTATCGAATATAATTATCTAATTATACACATCTATCTAATTGTATTCGATAATCTAATCGTTATATTGTATCTAATTATATTCGATTAATCGAATAGATAATTCGATTAATATGTTATGGTTGTTACTCGACAGAAATCGTTGAAATTCTCCTTCCTTTCGCAATGTACAAGCTTGTTTATCTGAGTTGATTTTAAAAAAAAAAATCTGTTATTTTTGTTATTAGTTCTCAATGTTCACTAAAAAATCATCTTCACTATCGCGAACGAAAGTTAAACAGGAATTGACTGCAGCAGCGATCGTCGCGTCGATTTTCCATCATCGCGCCGAGAGGCAAGATACACACACGCGCGAAAGTTAAACGATATGTACCAACACACATGCGGAACTATACTTTCCGCCCTATCGCTCCGCTTCACGGATCTTCTCGGTTCTTCTCAATTATCTTCGCTTTCTCGAGGCTCGAGCCACACCGACAGTCCGTCAATCACCGTGTGATTGATCCCTGAAACTCGAACCGATCGAAAGTTTGCGTAGGGTAATCGAATTAGCGCCGTCGTCGTCGGTTTCCATCGTTATCGCGGAACACTTGCCGCGTAAAAGTTGTCGTCGTTGTCGACAGCCAACGTCGGGCCTGAGTACCTTGAACACGCTTTCGTCGCAAGTGTACGATATAATACGTAACTACATATAGAGAGAGTGAGAGAGTGAGAGAGAGAGTAGAAGCGATTCCTTTGTGTTATATCTGGCTGTCTGGTTTCGCGTGGAAACGACCGAGCTAATGGAAGTCTGTCGTGAAAATAGACTCGTCTCTACTTATGAACACGCAACGACACCTTACCTCTCTCGATATCTCGCTCGAGAAGGCAAGAATGTATTATGCATTAACATCGCCGACACGGGCAGACCGTGTACACGCTGTTGTCTTAATAAACGGCCGGTATGCCGCGATGGGAATCCTTCAAATTCCAGCTTTAATCCAGTTCACTCGTGGAATTTGTCCAGATGCGGGGGGGG